TTGTTTGTCCATGAACTTGGACACAGTGTAACATGCTTATTTGTATAATTCCTCCACTTTTGGACAGATATTTCACCATTAAGACCAGACAGATTTCCTGTTGTTATTGTCTTCATTTTCTTTTTTTAACAGAGGAAAAGATGGAATAAGCTACTGTTTTAGCCTGAGTACAGAGTCAGTAAGCCTTATAGTGAGATCAGCACTGGAAACATCGTTGAAAGCTGAGCCATGGGAAGCCTGATCAAACAGTTGACACAAGTTCTTCCACTGTAAGGTAGCATGGGAAGAGGGGAAAGAGCGCAGGGTGTGGCTTTCAGGGTACCATGGCACACCTCCAGGGGGTGCCCTTCACATCCTGGTCAATGTGGAAGGCACCTCCTAGAGTTGTGATGCCAGGCATACCCAGTCATATGCAGCCGACTTGATCCTGTTTTCTCTGCTGACCAGCTGTGTGGCCTGGGACAAGTCACTTGAACCCTCTGAGCCACAGGTGCCTCATCTAGTAAAGCACTAATAATAGGTCATTTGTAGGTTATTGAAGAAATTAGCATTAATAAATATAAAGCACTTAGGCCAATGCCTGGCACATCATCAGCACTAACTTTTATACTTTTCTATTTTTATCTTATTATCAGCATAGCTACAAAATAGTAGGTTTTTAATGTATGCTACAGTTGTATAAAATAATCATATAAACATTCCCAAACAAAAACATTCCCACTGCTAAGAGGGAAATATATGGGTTGTTTCCTCTCTTGTAATTAGCCCAGACTTGCGTTTGATATCTGGTGAATTATTGGAATGTATTTTTTACATCTACACCAACAAATATTGTTTTGAAAATCCTTCAGTAGCAAAAGCACAAATGTACATGTCACCTATTTCACTGTCTTCATCTTTTCTCAAGGAAACCTCACTGTGTTTTTATTTGAATTCAAACATCAGGAAAACGGTTAGAGCAACACTTGCCAGTGCATCCTTATTTTTGTAAGGCAGCGGTCTACCTATTTTTCCTTGTATAAGAAGAAAAAGTATTATATAAAACTAATACATCAAGACTATGTGGGGTGGATCCCAAGAATGCAAGGCTGGTTCAACATTTGAAAATCAGGGGTGCCTGGGTGGCTCAGTCGTTAAGCGTCTGCCTTCAGCTCAGGTCATGGTCCCAGGGTCCTGGGATCGAGCCCTGCATCAGGCTCCCTGCTCCGCGGGAAGCCTGCTTCTCCCTCTCCCACTCCCCCTGCTTGTGTTCCCTCTCTCGCTGTGTCTCTCTCTGTCAAATAAATGAATAAAATCTTTAAAAAAAAAATTTGAGAATCAATCAGTATAGGGGTACCTAGCTGGCTCAGACGGTAGAGCATGTGACTCTTGATCTTGGGATCTTGAGTTCAAGCCCCATGTTGGATGTGCAGCCTACTTAAAAAGAAAAAGGAAAAAAATCAGTCAATATAATTCATCTTATTAAGAGATTAAAAAATAATCATGTAATCATCTCTATAGAAGCTGAAAAGCTTTTTATACAACTCAGGATCCATTCGTGATTAAGAAAAAAAATCTCGGGGAGTCTGGGTGACATGGTTGTTGAAACCAACTCTTGATTTCAGCTCAGGTCGTGATTTCAGGGTCGTGAGATCCAGACCAGCATAGGACTCCACACTTGATGGGGAGTCTGCTTAGTATTCTCTCCTTCTCCCTCTCCCTCTGCTCCTCCCCCACCCCCGCCGCCCCGCTCATGCTCTTTCTCTTTCGCTATTTCTCTCAAATACATAATTAAATAAATAAACTTTAAAAAAAAATCTCGGCAAACTAGAAATAGGAAGACGCTTTCTTTTTTTTTTTTTTTAAGATCTTATTTATTTATTTGAGGGGGGAACACAAGCAGGGGGAGTGGGAGAAGGAGAAGCAGGCTCCCCATTTTGAGCAGGGAGCCTGACATGGGGCCGGATCCCAGGACCCCAGGTTCGTGACCTGAGCCAAAGGCAGATACTTAACCAACTGAGCCACCCAGGCGCCCCAGGAAGAATCTTCCTTAATCAAATAAAGGGCATTTATGAAACCCAACAGCTAACATAATACTTAATGGTGAATAACCAAATGCTTTCCACCTGACATCAGGAACAATGCAAGGATATCTACTCTCCCACTCCTATTTAACGTCATACTAAAGGTCCTAGCCAGTGACTTAAAGCAAGAGGAAAAGAAAAAAACAATAAAAGGCATTCGGATTGGGAAAAAAGAAATAGAAGTTTTTATTTGTAAATGATGTAATTGTCTATGTAGAAAATCTACCAAAAAAGTTCCTAAAATTAAATGAGCTTAAATAAGTTCACAGGATATACACAAGGTCAATATACAAAAATCAATTGTTTATTCATATTCGAGCAATGAACAATTGGATTTTTTTCCTTAATTTCAAAGTACCATTTACAATAACATCAAAACAACAGGATCTCTCTCTCTCGCTGTGTCTCTCTCTGTCAAATAAATAAAATCTTTAAAAAGGGGGGGGGGCGCCTGGGTGGCTCAGTCGGTTAAGTGTCTGCCTTCGGCTCAGGTCATGATCCCAGGGTCCTGCGATCGAGCCCCGCATCGGGCTCCCTGCTCAGCGGGGAGCGGGCTTCTCCCTCTCCCACTCCCCCTGCTTGGGTTCCCTCTCTCGCTGTGTCTCTCTCTGTCAAATAAATAAATAAAATCTTTAAAAAACAACAACAACAACAGGGAATACTTAGGTATAAATCCAACTAAATATGTGCAGGGTCTATAAGCTGAAACTACAAAACACTGATTAAAAAACATCAAAGACCTAAATACATGGATCGAGAAATGATTTTCCTGGGTCAGAAATTTCAATATTGTGATGTCAGTTCTCCCCAGACCAACCTATAGATTTGAGGCAATCACAATTAAAATTTCAGAAGGATTTTTCTTGTGGATAACCACAAACTGATTTAAAAATTTATACAGAAAAGCAAAGGAACTAGAATAGCCGAAATGATTTGGAAAAGGAGAATACAGTTGGAGGACTCACATTACGGGACTTCAAAATTGACCAGAAAGTGATGAAGGTTAAGAGAGTGTGGTACTGGGGAAAGGAGGGACACAGATTAATGAAACAGAACAAAGAGCCCATAAATAGACCCACATAGTCTACGGTTAGTTGATTTTTGACAAACATGTATAGGTAATTCAATGGAAAATGTTTAGTCTTTTCTACAAAAGGTGCAGGAATGATCGGACATCCATATGCGACAAAACCCAAAAAACTCAACCCATATTCACACCGTAATTAAAAAATTAACTCAAAATGGACTTTAGATCTAAATGTACAACCCAAAACTATAAAATCTCTAAAGGAAAACATGGGAGAAAATCTTTGTGACCTTGAGTTAGGCAAATACTTCTTAGATATGACATAATTCCTAAAAGATAAAAATGGTAAAATAAACTTCATCCGAGTTTAGAACTTCTGTCTCGTCAAAGACATTGTTTATAGAGAATTAAGAAACCACAGACTGTGGGAAACTATTTGCAAATCAAATATTTGACAAAGGGCTTTTATCCAGAATATATAAAGAAGTCTAAAAACTCGGTAATAAAAATATGCAAAAGATTTAACAGCCACTTAGCCAAATAAGATGTATGGGTGGCAAATAAGCACATAAAGAGATGCTCAACATCATTTGTCATTAGGAAAACTCATATTAAAAAACCGTAATGAGATACCATGTCACAACTCTTATAATTAAAATAAAAAATAAGACAATACCAAGTACTGGAGAAGACACTAAAGAAATGGAACTCTCATACATTGCTAGTGGGAATGCAAAATGAGACAGACACTCGGGGACACAGTTTGGCAGTTTCACATGAAGTTGAACGAACACTTATGATATTGCCCAGCCATCCCACTCCTGGGTATTTATCCAAGAGAAGAAAAGAATGCTTTTCACTCAAAAAGCTGCAGAAAATGTTTATAGTGGTTTTACTTGTAATCATTAAAAACTAGAAGAATCCAAATATCCTACCTGGAGAATGGATAAATAAACTGTGGTATATTCATACAAGGGAATACTACTCACTAATAAAAATGAACAAATCACTAATATAGAAGAATCTAAAATGCATTATGGTAAGTAAAAGAAATCAAGATCGAAAGGCTCTCTACCCTGCGATCAGTTCTATCTATATGACCAAAGGCAACATTATAGGATCAGAAGGTGGATCCTGGTTGCCAAGGGGTGGGGGATGGGAGGAGTTGATTACAAAGGAGCAGCACAGGGAAAACTTTTTGGGCAACAGAGTTATTTTTGTATCTTGATGGTGTTAGTGATTATAAAACTGTTTGCATATAGAACCATACACAAAGAGTGAATTTTATTGTATGTCAATTTCTAAAGAAAGTAAATGAAGTGAAAGTGAAACAAACAGAAGGTGCTATTCTGAGTTCCTTTTAACATTTCTGAGATTCAGACCTGCTGCTGGTACTACAAGTCTCCTTAGCAGGAGACAAATTATTCATAGGAAGGAAAATATATTTGCTTTTCAAAATGGGCAGAGGAGGAGGAAGAGAGTACCAAGTAAACACGGTAAATACTTTATTAGTTTGGGCTCTTAAACTGTCAGTCTTCATATGCATGCTTTCCCATAAATAGGCATGCAATCTTTTATCCTTTAGATTGTAGTTTTTTAATGACCCACACATCCTTTTCAATTTGTTTTTCAAGGATCAAGCCTCACAAATATTGTCTAGGATAGATAACGTCTCGTCTGGGGTGTATGGTCTCATACTTTTTCAGGCATCATGCATATTTTAATACTTTACCATCTAGTGAAGTTACCCATCTGCTGACTCCTGATTTTTTAATGACAGGAAGGCTTGCATTGCGCACACCCTTCAAACTTTCTGAAATGTCATTTAATATTATCCTACATCATTACTCAGCTGTCTACATGAGGACAGTGGGATAGAAGAATTTAATTTTCAGGTCAGATTTCATAAGATTCTGGACCCAAATCTTTTTAAGAAAGTCCACTTCTGCTGTAATTGGATCAACTATATATCATCCTCTTGCCCTTCATAATCCAATCAATTAGTGGTCAGGTTTGTTAATCGGGGTCCATTAGCTCCTGTAAAACATGCTAAATGATTTCATTCTATTATGAGGAAAAATACATGAGCATCTGGAGGCTAACAATATTAGGAATATAATTTAAAACTGTAATTGGGTGGTCACAAAATAAATTCAGATTAGAACTTAAAAGGAAATTCTTGGAAAATATTTTTTCATTGGATTAAAGTTATAATGTCATCAAGACCAGTCAGTGGATACTGGATGTTTCATATTAACATAGTGGGTGGATGTTTGTTCAAGACTCTGGAGTGATATTCAAAATTGTTTGTACCCATTATCATTAAAATATCACTGGACCAACTGTCCTAGAATAAACTGAGTTAGATCTATCATTTCTTTTCTTTCGCTTCTTAAGAGAATATAGGCTGAAAAAAAATAGATCACAAATCAGTGGTGTTTGTTGCTGAGACTCTTCACTGGGAGGCAGATCTATGGCAATTTTGGAAATCCCAGGTAGGATGGCTGTGTGGGCCTGGGCAAGATCAGAGGCCAGACTGGCTCAGCCTGCATCCTGAGAAGGGTAGCGAGCCACAGGTAAGGTCATAAGATCTAAAACGGATGGATTTCCCTTTTTAAAGAAAACACTTGATTAGTAAGTTACCATAAACTTGAAGATTCCAAAGTCTAATACACTGACTTTTCAGAATAAAATTACAGTACGCTGATTTGGTGCAGGAATGGACAGACCACAAATTACGCTGGAATCCTGATGAATACGGTGGAATTCGTTCAATTAAAGTTCCATCGGAATCTCTCTGGCTTCCCGACATAGTTCTCTTTGAAAAGTAAGTATCCCGGAAGAAATATACCCTGGTTCTATTAGGACCAGCGATGGAAAAGCCTTACTTTGGCAAAAGAATTAAGAGAAATGTACAACTTTGAGTAAGAGGAGAACCGTTTCTTTCTGAAATAATGTTTGACTCTGTGGTAGGAAAGTAATAAAAGGCAAACAAACAGTAGAGGGAGGGGTGGGCAAAGACCCCAGTCATCAGTGTTCGACTCTTTTACCGCAGTGCTGATGGCCGTTTCGAAGGCTCCCTCATGACCAAAGTCATCGTGAGATCCAACGGCACCGTCATTTGGACGCCCCCCGCCAGCTACAAAAGCTCGTGCACCATGGACGTCACCTTTTTCCCATTCGACCGGCAGAACTGCTCCATGAAGTTCGGGTCGTGGACTTACGATGGAACCATGGTTGACCTCGTTCTGATCAATGAAAATGTTGACAGGAAGGACTTCTTCGATAACGGAGAATGGGAGATACTCAATGCAAAAGGGATGAAGGGCAACAGGAGAGACGGTGTCTACTCCTACCCGTTCATCACGTACTCGTTCGTCCTGCGCCGCCTGCCCCTCTTCTACAGCCTCTTCCTGATCATCCCCTGCCTAGGGCTGTCTTTCCTGACAGTGCTTGTGTTCTATCTCCCTTCCGACGAAGGGGAAAAGCTGTCCCTGTCCACCTCGGTGCTGGTTTCCCTGACCGTGTTTCTCTTAGTAATTGAGGAAATAATCCCCTCTTCCTCCAAAGTCATTCCTCTCATTGGGGAGTACCTGTTGTTCATTATGATTTTCGTGACCCTGTCGATTATTGTGACAGTTTTCGTGATTAACGTTCACCACAGGTCCTCTTCCACTTACCACCCCATGGCCCCCTGGGTGAAGAGACTCTTTCTGCAAAAGCTTCCTACATTGCTTTGTATGAAGGACCACGTGGATCGCTACTCTTTCCCAGATAAGGATGAGAGTCAACCAGTAGTGAAAGGTAAAGCTCTAGAAAAAAGGAAACAAAGACAGGTGAGTGATGGAGAAACAGTTCTTGTTGCTTTCTTGGAAAAGGCAGCTGATTCCATCAGATACATTTCAAGACACGTGAAGAAGCAGCATTTCATCAACCAGGTGAGTGCACTGGTGTTCATCCCAACGCATCCACCGAAGCATGCAAAAACCAACCTTCTCTTATCTCTTTACAGCCAAATGCTGGCATTGTTTAAATGTGACACTATTAGCTATCTGTTTTTCACGTGTAAAATGTTAAGCAAGCCCTGAGATGAGAAAGAATTTTAGTATGGATTTTTAGGAAGCAGTTCACAGAAACAGAAGGAGCAAAAGTGAAGCAAATGCAGACTAAGCACCAGTCCTTATAACTAGACTTGATTCTATTTAAAATAATTTAATTCTACATTTTAAGTTGGTTATCCTGGTCTTTGGTAATGTATCTCTCATTTTTAGTGCAATGATGGTTATTTCTATCTGTAGTATTTGGAAATAAAAGAGCAGAATTAGATTTTGGGATTAATATAAAAATATAGTGTTCCAACAGATATTTTGGTGAGGGAAAAGGGCATAGTTTTTAGCTTACAGATTAAAAAAAAAAGTGTGGCGAGAGTGTGGATTTCAGACCCAAGACAGTCATGGATTCAGATCGTACCTGCTGCTTAAAACAAGTTATAGGCCAATTTACAGCGTTCAATTACTCTACTCTAAAATCGGTGAAAATTAGTGCCAAGAGCCTGATCCCATAAACAAAATTATGAAAGAATTTTTTTTAAAGATTTTGTTATTTTTGACAGAGAGAGAGCCTACAAGCAGGGGAAGCAGCAGACAAAGGGAGAGGGAGAAGCAGGCTCCCCGCCGAGCAGGGAGCCTGATGCGAGGCTCAGTCCCAGGACCCTGGGATCATGACCTGAGCAGAAGGCAGACGCTTAACCGTCTGAGCCACCCAGGCACCCCTATGAAAGAATTTTTAATTAATTAATTAATTTAATTTAGTTAGCTGACATAGAGTACATCAGTAGTTTCAGATGTAGTGTTCAATAATTCATCAGTTGCATATAACACCCAGTGCTCATCACATCATATGCTGAAAGAATTTTTTTAAAAGAAATATCCTTCTATATTTTATCTAGACACTACCTAGTATGTTCTCTCTTACTATTTGTTGTGTTTTTCATCCACTGAAAAACATTTTTAAAGCATTAGGGAAAATGCTGCTATAGAACAAACATTTCGGCTCTTCTTAGGGCTGTTTGTTGTTGTTTCTTTACATCCTTTAAACATTCTAATTCAAAGATTCAGAGAGCCTTTTAAAAAATCATAAAAGTAACACCTTATCAGGGTAAAGAATTTGGAAAATACAGAAAGTATAAACAAGAAAATTAAAATCATTAATAATCCCACTACTTAAGGTTGGCACTTTAAACATTTCAATGTGTCTTCTTTGTGTTCTTCCCCCAAAGTTTTACTCCTAAACCTCTGTGTGTGCGGAATGCATTCAGGTTCCACATCAATACCTGTGTCCCCTCTAAAACTCCTGTTAGGTTCCATCTTTATAAAACCCCCATATAATAGAAACAGGACATTTCTTTTCCTTCGGAAGAGAACTGACCCCTGTCCTTCACACCTCTCACCTTGTTCCTGCTCTGACCTTGTTCTTATAGTGTATTGCCCACTGTGCCTCAACTTCCCTTCCTCCAAAGGGACTCAGTCTCCCCTCTCCCTTACGGATTGCTGTCCTGGCCTGATCACTTCTCCTCCCCGGCAGTTTCCCGGCATTCCAGAGATGTAGCAGCCAAACCCACATGCAGAGTGGAAGATGAGAAGGCTTGTTATATTGGGCCATGAAAATGCTTAATTTATAAGTTTGTGATTCATTTCTTATGTAGTATCAGGAAGATCATAGTAACAGATACTGGCTTTTTATGTGTGTAAAAATCAGGCTTTTCCCATTTTGATCAGTATTGTTTACAAATACATACATGATTCTGTTGTTTCTATTTCACATCTTCAATGTCGAAAGTGTTCACAGGCTAGTAAAGTCACGGGGAGAATCTGAGCCTACGCTGCAGGGGATGTGTTCGGTGCATTTTAAAAACGGAAGTGCTGTACATCTGAATATTACTCTTTTTCAATCCCTTGAAATGAATTCAGAACAGTTGCCCTGCAGCTTAAATGGAAGGCATCTTTTTCTCTTTTGCAGGTGGTACAAGACTGGAAATTCGTAGCCCAAGTTCTGGACCGAATCTTTCTGTGGCTCTTTCTGATAGTGTCAGTTACAGGCTCTGTTCTGATTTTTACTCCTGCTTTGAAGATGTGGCTCCATAGTTCCCACTAGCAATCCAGAGCCATCTAAAATACCATAAAGACAAAATCACGCCTTAGAACTGACCTCCAGCTAGCATGTACATACAGTATCCAAATGCATGAGCTTCTTGGAAGGGCCTGAATGGGACTCAGGGAAACTGAACATTGGCAAATGTGGGTTTGCCCACAGTAAATTCATGACTGTCACAGGAGCTCCTCAGGACCCTACCTTGGCCTCCCCAGATGTTCAAGGAGTCGTAGGTTCCAGGCCTGACATCACAGCCAGGACGGACTAGGACTGTTGCTGGCTGCTGGACTGAGGCCCCCAGGAAACTGGACTGAGGCCCCGCCAAGGATGCACACCAGGAATTCAAGACAGGCAATCTCCGAGTCAAGAGATTTGTGTGCTCGGACCTGGGCCTCCTGCGTCTACTGGTGTCCTTGGTGGTTTGGCCTGAGTTTGCAGACTGGTGCTGTGTGTCGTGCCGCTGGACAATGTGCTTCAACAAATCTCAGCAACCATTTGGGGAATTGCCCTGGTTGGACAGATCTGGCACCGCACGCTTGTTTTCACGAAGATTCCAAGATGCCTGGTAACTGAAGTCCCTCCCCTTCCCCCCCACAAATGTGGTATTTCTTGAAAATAGTGTCTCTTGAATGTGGTGACCTCTCAGGCAGGTGGTATTCATGGATTATTCATAACATTATAAAGGTTTCCTGATGCTGAAACTAGAACCTACTGTGAGTTGTGACTTGTTTAAAAGGCCATATCAAAATAACTGACAATAGAAACAATGTCATCTATTACTGGGAGTGCAGTCACTAATACCCATCATCTTTTCCTAGAAAATACAAGTACCCAACATTCTCTGATGATGGCTTTTTATGTCCCCGCATCCAATCGAATCCACTTCAACAGTACTCTCAAGGCTTTCCATTCTGTTTCTTTTCTTTCTTCTTCTTCTGTCCACAATCACATTATAAACAAGTAATTGTTTTACTCATTTCTTGGTTCACCACCTTTTTTCTCCTATTTTCCTTTCCCTGATTCATTTCATTATCTCAGAGGAATACATCTCCAAGCAATTCTTATAGAAAGTTTTGAGTGGACAGTATATGTTAATTAAAAAATTAAAATAAATAAAAAAATAAAAATAAAAATAAGCAAAAAGAAGTTTTGAGTGGGGTTACCTTTCTGAATCCTTACATTTCTGAAACTGGATAGGTTGGCCCTCATAGGATAGGTTGGCTGAGCGTGGAATTTTGAATTCAAAATCATTTTCCCTCAGAATTGTGAAGAGAGTATTCTACAATTTCCCATGATCTTTTTTTTTCTTTTCAATTTCCCATGTTCTAGATGAGAAGTATGGTGAGGATTGATTCTTATTCCTTGTTCCTACAGATTCCTGTTTTTCCCTTTATGAAACTCTTGGACTTTTCTTTTTATCTTTGGGCTTTATAAATGTCACCTGAATATGCTGTAGGTGTCTAAATGTAGGGCTTGTTTTCTCTCTCTTTCTCCCTCTCTGTTTTTATCTTGGCACTTGATAATTAATGTCTTTCTTCAACTCATGCAAATTTTCTTCTCTTATCTCTTTTATTATTTCCTATCCTCCATTCTCCCCCTCCTTTCTTTTTAAAATTTCTAGAAGGATCTAGTATTCCTGGATCTGTCTTCCATGTTTATCAACTTATTAACTCTTCTTTCATACTTTTTATTTCTTGAATTATTTACATTTTGAGCTTGATAATACCGCTAACTAATTTGATATTCAGTCTTTGTCTATGCAGCCCACCTACTGAGGTGAGGGTTTATTTGTTTGTGAAAAAATCATGTATTTGATTTCCAAGAACTCAGTTCTTCTTTTTGGATGTCAGATGCTCTGCAATAACTTGGAGGAATACTAATTGTGGTTGTTTTTAAGTCTCCTTCTGTTGTCTGCATTAATTTTTCTTCAGCGGTTAATTCTTCTACTGATTTTTAAAATGCCTTTTGTGGTAGTTTTACTCCAGTGTTTGTTGATTTTTGATATTGTTTCTTTACCTGACAGTGGAAACCATTTCTAATTACAGGACACCAGGCTCCAGGTGCTTTCCTTTACTGTCTGTGTCCAAGGAAACATTTCTCTAGGGTGTGTGACTAGCTCATCTTCTACATTCAAGGAACTCCTTTCTTCTTGGCAACCATAAATAATCTGGGGGCACTAAACTGTTTCTCTGACTCCAAAGCCCACTCTGGTTTCTCCTGTGTCAGAGTGTCCACCGGCTGGGACAGACCACGGAAGCCACAATGAAAAGTGGAATTATATCTTAAGTCTCCCCTGTGTATAATCTTAGAATTATTGTGGGGTTTTGTTAGAAAGAAAATAATTTCTTTGGTGGCCCCATCTTTCCTTCATGGGACCAAAATTCCACTGTTCTGTTAGGTTTTATCATAAATCTGACCTCCTGTCCTACATATTTCAGCCATTCCCCACCAATCTGGTCTATGAAGGTACCTCGGCCAACTTCCCAGGGCTATTATGGATGTATTCATTTTACATTTCTTTTGATCTAGCAGTAGGATTTGGAGGACAAAAAAAAAAAAAAAAAAAAAAAGGAAACACATCAGCCAGCCATTTTATACTGATCTTTTCTAAATCTCAATCCTTATGGAAATTGTATATAGAAACTAGGACACTGTAAAATCATTATACCATGACAAGCCGTGGACCTATTTTTAAGGACTCTGATTAATCTTGACTTCACAGACGGGTGGATGCTGGGCCTGATGGGGACTGGAAAGATGATTCTGTTGGAAATAAAATTATCAGTAGTAAAATAGTAATTATTGACCCCCCAAGAGTGAAGCATTTCTTGAAGTTAATGATACACATATGGTGTTAGATCTGGCAGGAGGACTGATAGGAATCTTCACACCTGGCTGTCTACAGTGTCCTGGACATCTGCACTGGTTTCCAAACTGCTTCTCCTGCTTCCAGTCAGAGTTCCATCCTGTTCACACCAACTATCCCCTTGTCCTTTTCATACCTAATCTCTCCTTCTCTTGTGCCCTTGATCTCTCTTCCTGGAAATGGCTTCTTTAATTACCCTGTCGGTCTTGTATGGCTCCGTCCTAAGTCTACAAAGTGCCCAGATTTGTTTTCGTTTTAGAACAAACACAGACCATAGTGAACAGAAATAACAGAGTTTTTTCAAAAAGCCTGGACTGCTTTTTTTTTAAGATTTTTTTTATTTATTTTGAGACAGTGAGAATGAAAGAGAGAGAGAGAGAGAGTACATGAGAGGGGAGAGGATTAGAGGGAGAAGCAGGCTCCTTGCTGAGCAGGGAGCCCGATGCGGGACTCGATGCGGGACTCGATCCTGGGACTCGATCCTGGGACTCGATCCTGGGACTCGATCCTGGAACTCCAGGACCATGACCTGAGCCGAAGGCAGTTACTTAACCAACTGAGCCACCCAGGCGTCCGCCTGGACTGCCTTCGTAGAGAGATTCATGCCATTCAAATCATCCTCAAAAGCAGTTATAAATTCAAAAACAGAAATCTCCTTTATATATTTTTAAGTGTTAAAGGAATATTTAATATGATTGGTACATTTTTCAATAGATACTGAATTTTATACAATAGAATTATATTTGTATGTGCTATGCACACACATTGTGGAACATTGGGCTCCTTGTATGATCTTCATATCTATTACTTTTCTGCACATTTTACCGGACTTTTAAAAGGGAAACAACATGGTGAAGTGAAATATAGGGCACTAGGACCTTGGGCTCTAGACCAGCTATTACCTACGTGTGTGGGCTATGGGGCCTTGTGTGGGTCATTTGCCCTCTGGTTTCCTGGTCAATTAATTAAAGGTTATGACTCATGGTTCTTGCCTGCTCTAAAATGCTATACTTTGGAGATTTTCACAATTTTTAAACCACACAACTTCTAATCATAGTTTTGTTCCTTTGGGAAATGTCATCTGTTTTATCACTGCTTCAGAATGGGATTTGCAGGGATACGTTGTGATGAAAATCAAGGATTCCCTGCCTTAAATCCCTGATCGGATTGTGGACTCAAAGGGCAAATCATTGTTCTTCCTTTTATTGAGAACACTATTGACTTTAATTCATTACTTAACTTTATCTGACTCATTAGTTTGCTAGGTAAATGACAATACTAATCTTAGAAAAATGCATTTAAATTCAAATTCAGTTTTAATTTTGAAAAATACCACATGAAACACTTCCCACAGCAAGCCTCTTTCTGACCAGACACAAATACAGCAAAGGTCAAACATTTGTATGTGTACACACAGCTTAAGGTGGGACACAATAACAGTTTCAAATACCGGAAAGCATAAATATTTATACATCACAATAACCCCAAGATAGTAACTATGAAACAGAACTTTAAAGCAAATAAATTTTTATTTCAAATGTATAACAAGAAAAATCTTTTGTGCGCAAAACCTGCCTGCTATTGCAACTGGAGGGCAGGGGTCCAAGAGCACCTGGCTCCGGGGGTCCCAAGCAGACCGGGTTTGGCCGTTCTCCGCTGACAAAATCCAAAGGCAGAGAAACGGGGCGCCTGGGTGGCTCAGTCAGTTAAGCATCTGCCTTTAGCTCAGGTCATGATCCCAGGGTCCTTGGGATTGAGTCCCACATCGGGCTCCTTGCTCCCTGGGGAACCTGCTTCTCCCTCTGCCTGCTGCTCTCCCGGCTTGTTCTCTCTCTCTCTCTCTCTCCGTCAAATAAATAAATAAAATCTTAAAAACAAAACAAAATAAAACAAAGGTAGAGAGACAGGTGGTGGTAAAACCAGAAAGGAATTCATTCCCGTGAGGCCAACACTGGGAAGACAGTGGACTAATGTATGTCTCAAAGACTTGTCTCCAAAGTGCTGAAAATCCTTCCAGGTTTATATAAGGAAAATGTGGGACAAATGTCAGTGGGTACGTGCAAGTGGCCAGTAGAGGTCAAGTCGATCCCTATCTTGGGGTCACTCACCCTGGGTCTTGCTGACGTCAGAGCGGCCGCCATTGCTGCTTGAGGGGTAGTGGTTTCGGTCCCCATCACCGTACGCTTTGCCCGCAGCTGGGTCTTTTGCCTGAGTTAAGAAGATATGCTGGAAAGAAGAACTTAATCAGAAAGTACAGACTGAGGTCAGAATGGAGGTAGGTGGTTGAAGTCCTCTTTCACGATTTCCAACAAGTGGATGGTGTGAAACCCATACAACCCTCCATCACAAGTGTGGGCACATGGACCACACAACTGTGCAGACACACGGAGAGCTGTCCTAAATTGGCCTCATCCTTTAGATCTCTGCTCACACCCACCTCATGAAGCCTTCACAGAACGTGGCCCTAAGCTCCCCGTCTCTGAAAGCCTGTGGTGTTTTCAGTCTCTGCTAGATAGTGTAGAAAGTAATTGTCCCCTATTATTTTATTAAGTGAATTTTATTTCCTTTAGTTATATCATAGCATATCATCCACAGCATCTAATAGAGCTAAGTACATGGCCAAGGCCTAATTAATATTTGTTGATGAGTTAAACCAACACCAGAAAATTTGATTGTTTAATTTGTCTAAAATGAGGACAAATTTGTACTCTTGCTCAGCCTCTCTCAGTATTTCCAGCTCTGTGTGTGTGTTCATGCAGGTGTAATTTTCAGCATGCACCTTAAAGAAACATTTTCCTACATTGAAAAGTGTCTAAAATACTATTATCATACTTAGAAAGAATAATGATTCCATATTCAAGTGCCTATCTCGAGAACAGCCTAAATTTGTAGCCAGCTTGTTTAAAAGAGGATTCAAACATAGTGTTATGCCTCTTAAATGTATTTTCATTTCTTTCTTGTCTCTGACTTGTTGCAAGGACCAGATCAATTTTCACCAAGAATGTCTCATTTTGGGGATTCATCTGGTCACTTGCTTTTGGTGTCATTTAGCTTATTCCTCTGTGTCTTCTATTTCTTATAAACTGGAAGTTACAACATAATTCTGGTTAAATATTTTTGGCAGAATATGTCATAGATTGTGCTGTGTGGTTCATATTGTACTGTAGGTCATCCTCAGTGTTAAGACTAATCCCTGGATCAAGATGATAACCGTCTGATCTCTCCCCCTACCCAGGGGTAAATATAGTGGTATAGCTTATAATACACAGCAAAGTTATAAAGACTCTTACATATCACCGTAGATCCCTTAGAGATGGTCTCTAACCAGCTACGTTAGAACACTGCAATTTCCAAAGAGTAACATTTTTTATGCTAGGTTGGACCTTTGGTGGTGTCATAATTCTTTCTCAGAGCACCTACTATTATGTATTAAAGTGAATTCGTTTAATGAACACCCTGGTGACTACCATTTGTGTTTAACCTGGTATGAATTCCTCCTTTGTATTAAGACTTTCTGTTCAGTATGTCAATAAAATAATAGTGAAAATAAAAGTAACATTACTTCTTTGGTTCCTGGACAATCTTAGGTTTGGGAAAACTAGCCGAGAGCAGCAATACATCCACTAGTGTATCATCCACCCCAGAGTGACTGTCGTCGGGGCAGGGCAGCCTGGCCTGTTGTAAAATCAGATATACCCCTGAGCTCAAGGGTAGTCCCAGCTTTGGGCAGTCAAAGGAGATCCAGCCAGGCCAGAAGAATGCAGTATAAAAAGGGAAATCATACCAAAAAAGAATACACATTATGAAGATTAACTCAGGCAACCTTCTAAACGGCCCGATGAGGAAAGCACTATAATCATCCCTGCTCATGGGTAAAGGTCTCCTTCCCGGGCAGAAGTCAACCCTCGGGGGAAATGAGCGGGAAAGATCAACCTACTGTTTGTCCTGCAGAAAGGATGTTCTTATCACCAAGAAGTACCCAGTGAGGGTGTGCTCGTGGTGGGAGGTGTGCTGTCTGACTGCCCCTAAACAAGCCAGCTTAGCGTGTGCCTGTCCAGGCCTGCACTCCAAACGGGGACCCTCAGGAGGCCTATGCTTTTTCGTAAGAGGCGTTCATGGATATTTTGATGATTCTACACTGGCCTGTCCCACACATGGCAGGATGCTTCGCATCCTAGCCCCCAGGCCTTACGTGACAATAGTCATTGTGACAAGCAAAAATGTCCTTTTAGACATTTTCCAACACCAACTGGAAAGAGAGAGAGAGAGAGAGAGAGAGAGAGAGAGAGTGTGTGTGTGTGTGTGTGTAAAGGGGGCACAATAACATTTCTGGTTCAGAATGGCTGGATACTGCTGAAGGGACCAGATGACAGTTCAAAGTCAAAAGGGGGATGGGCAGGGGCGCCTGGGTGGCTCAGTTGGTTAAGTGACTGCCTTTGGCTCAGGTCATGATCCCAGGGTCCTGGGATCAAGCCCTGCATCAGGCTCCCTGCTCAGCAGGAAACCTGCTTCTCCCTCTCCCACTCCCCCTGCTTGTGTTCCTTCTCTCTCTCTCTGTCAATTAAATAAATGGAATCTTTAAAAAGGGGGGGGATGGGCAAAGGGAGATGCTCAGATGTTGTTCCGCTGTTCTTATTGCCCTGTCCCCTCACTGCACACAGGAGGCACACGCTAGGCCCTGCAAGGGGCAGGGGCTGGGTGGAGGCATCCCAAGGAGATGCTCCCTAGGCCCTCAGAAGGTGCTTCCTGGTTCTCAGAGTCCACCTCCTCCCTTCCCACTTCTCATACTTCTCTCCACCCAGCCTTGGTCCCCTCTGGTAGGACCTCACCCAACGGAAGGAATCAAGCCCCAGTTTGTTCAGTCAACGCCACAAACTCCTGGCCCTGCTACAAACTCCTGGCCCAGCACACTGGGCTCATTTGGCTAACACAAAGATTTTATTCTTGTTTCTTAACTTAGTTGCCACAACTTAAAACTAGGAGACTTTATATAAAAAGCTGGATTTTTAGTTTTTCTTTAAAAAATCAGAAGTTTGGAAGCCTCGAGTTCCTTGAGAGCGAGCTCTCGGGGCTGGGGGGTGGGGGGGTGAGGCCGGGCCGGCGGCCCTTTGCCTTCCGTGCTCCATGCTCGTCCAATGACTTCCAGTTGTGAGGGTTCGGGGCCTCTACCCCAGGCCAGAGTGCCCTTCCTTCCCCTGCCCCGTCGGGGGCTGAGCAGGCTGAAGCTTCTCCCGGGTCCGGGTTGTGTGCGAGGGTAGTGAAGACTGGGCGGATTGGGTGACCCCTCCCGAAGGGAGGAGCCCTGGGGACTCTTGAGGGCATGCCCATGCTCCGGTGGCGGCTTTGCTTCTGAGCCTTGGCGGTGAAGGTTTCGTCGGGCCCGGCCCTTCTCAGATCGCGGCTTTCTTGTGAGGCTCGTTGGCACGTGTCTTTACCGTTTCAGAAAAATGTTCGTTGGCGGCCTGAGCTGGGATACCAGCAAAAAGGACCTGAAGGATTACTTTAACAAATTTGGAGAGGTCGTTGACTGTACAATAAAAATGGATTCCAACACCGGCCGGTCAAGAGGGTTTGGGTTTATCCTCTTCAAAGACGCAGCCAGTGTGGAGAAGGTCCTAGACCAGAAGGAACACAGGCTGGATGGCCGTGTCATTGACCCCAAAAAGGCCATGGCCATGAAGAAGGACCCGGTAAAGAAAATTTTTGTGGGGGGTCTGAATCCTGAAGCCACTGAGGAGAAGATTAGGGAGTACTTCCGCGAGTTTGGGGAGATCGAGGCCATTGAGCTTCCAATGGATCCAAAGTTGAACAAAAGATGAGGCTTTGTTTTCATCACCTTTAACGAAGAGGAACCTGTGAAGAAAGTTCTGGAGAAAAAGTTCCATACCATCAGTGGAAGTAAGTGTGAGATCAAGGTTGCCCGGCCCAAAGAGGTCTATCAGCAGCAGCAGTATGGCTCTGGGGGCCGTGGGAGCCGCAACCGGGGGAACCGAGGCAGCGGCGGTGGCAGCGGAGGTCAGAGTCAGAGTTGGAATCAGGGCTACGGCAGCTACTGGAACCAGGGCTACGGCTATCAGCAGGGCTACGGGCCCGGCTATTACGGCTACGGCCCCGGCTACGACTACAGTCAGGGCAGCACAAATTACGGGAAGAGCCAGCGCCGCGGTGGCCACCAGAACAGCTACAAGCCATACTGAGGCTTCGGCAGGACGCCCGACCGATCGCACACGCTTGTTTGGATCTCGAGTGAACACAATTACGTACCAAATTTAACTTGGCATACTTTCTATGGCCTGTCCCATGTGCATCTTATTTAAAATTTCCCCCTTGGAAATCACTCTCCTGTTGACTATTTCCAGAGCTCTAGTTGTTGTAGGCAGCGTGTGGGGTCTCCGAGGCCGGAGCGGCGTGAGGGGCTGACTGATTGTATGCCCAGGTCCCCCAGAGCCCAGCTGCCAGGGTCTGCTTCCTGCTGCCGCGCCTGGACCTGTGGACCCTGGTTGTAAAGAGTAAACTGTATCTTAGGAAACCAGTGTCACCTTTTTTTCACCTTTTAATTTTATATTATTTGTGTCATACATTTCCTGTTAATGGAAGTGTTAATTTTACTGTACTTTTTGGTACCTTTTGGGAATCTAATGTATTGTAAGGTATTTTACACATGTCCTGATTTTGCCACGACCTGGATATTGAAGCTATCCAAGCTTTTGAAATAAAAATTTAAACCCCCCCCCCAAAAAATCAGAAGTTTAAGCACCCACGCCCATACCTGTATCCCCTGTCACTGTTAAAATAAACTTTGACACTAATACGACCTTCCCCAAATAAGGGAGTATGTGCAGCTTCACCTCTCTAACCTGGTTGACATCTCACTTACATTACATGTCTTCCTTCCTGCCAGTGCGAGGCTCTCCCCACCTTGTAAGGCAAGCGTGGGGGTGTTGAGGGAAGAAGATGGACAAGTTCAGGTGATTCTCTTCTCACAAGAGCCACTGAATTGTACTGGGGTCAGGGAAATGAGGAAAGAATCTGGAGATGTGGCATCTGTTAGCTGTGTGATCACGGGCAAGCCACTCTACCTTTTGAGATTAAAAAAAAAAAGAGTTGGGCTAAACAATCTATGAGTTCCATTCCATCCCTAAAAGTCACTGATCTTGGGTGCCTGGGTGGCTCCGTCGTTAAGCATCTGCCTTCGGCTCAGGTCAGGATCCCAGGGTCCTGGGATCGAGCCCCACATCGGGCTCCCTGCTCAGCGGGGAGCCTGCTTCTCCCTCTCCTCCTGCTCCCCCTGCTTATGCTCTCTCACTCTCTCTGTCAAATAAATAAATAAAATCTTTAAAAAAAAAAGTCACTGATCTTATAGTTCAGGTACACAGACACTCCCATGCATGTGCACTACACACACACACACAGATATTGATAATGAAACCATAACCAGGGTAATTTCAAGTCAATTCTAAAAGTTAAAAATGTCAGTTAACAAAGAATTCTTTATGTTTTACTATCTTCATGCTTCCCCTTGTTCTTCTGAACAAACGCTGTGACTTCCCTTTTATTCACATGCTTATCTTTCTTTTAAATCCATATTGCTGGTTTGCTTACCTGTGAGTACAAGATCCTCTCTCCTCTGAGGATCACTGAGCAAATTCTGGCAAGCTGGGCTGGAAAGTCTGAGGTATGTTCATGTATAAAAGGATGTGTAAAGAAGTCAGGATTGGGGTCTCCCTGCTCCTGGCTGGGAGCATTTTCCTCCCATCTTCCTGCTTTGCATTTCTTACAAGTCTTGTTTTTATATCTAATAAGGGGTTAATGTTCAGAATATGTAAGATCTCCTACAACTCAATAACAACAGAGAACAACCTGATTTTTAGAAGTGCAGAGGACCTGATATACATTTCTCCAAAAAAAGATATGCAAAGAAGGAGAAGAAGAAGGGAGGAAGAAGAAGAATGGGGGGGGAGAAAAAGAAGAAGAAGAAGAAATACAAATGTACAGTAAGCACATGAAAAGATGCCAATGATTAGGGGAATGAAAATCAAAATCACAAGGAGGTATCACTTCACACCCATTGGGATGGCTGCTATAAGGGGGCAAAAAGAGCAGAAAATAGCAAATGTTGGCAAGGATGTGGAGAAAATGGAACCTTTGTGCACTATTGGTGGGGATGTAAAATGGTGCAGCCACTGTGGAAAAACAGCATGGCAGCTCTTCAAAAAATTAAAAATAGAACTGCCATATAACCCAACAATTCTACTTCTGGATATATACTCCAAAGAATGGGAAACTCGGAGATGTTTGTACACACCTATTCATAACAGCGTCATTCCTGATAGCTAAAAGGTAGAAGAAACTCAAATGTCCATTGATGGATGAATGGTTAGACAAAATGTTGTAAGTACATACAATGGAATATTATTTAGCCTCAAGAAGCAAATAAATTCTTATGTCAGCTGTACTTCAATTAAAATTAATTATTTTTTAAAAGCAAAACCATGCTGACACATACTAAAATATGGATGAACCTTAAAAACTATACTTAGTGAGGTAAGCCAGTTAGAAATAGACAAATCCTATATGATTCCATTCATATAAGGTCCCTAAAGTAGTCAGATTCATAGAGACAAAGTGGAAGGGTGGTTGCCAGGAGCAGACAGAGTGGTAGGGATAGGATGAGCTGCTGTTAATGGCTACAGAGTTTCAGTTTTACAAGATGAAAGAGTTCTGTGGATGGATGGTGGTGAATACCACTGAACCGCATACTTAAAATGGTGAAGACAGTGAATTTTGTTATGTGCATTTTGCCACTATGAAAACTTTTTAGGGGTGCCTGGGTGGCTCAGTCAGTTAAGTGTCCGATTTCGACTCAGTTCATGATCTTAGGGTCCTGGTGATGAAGGATAGTTGGAAGGCAGGCAGGTGGGGACAAGGGGCCCCCCCACCCTAAGAAAAAACCACGTTAAAAAGATTTTATACCACCCTGGAAGGAGCCCTCCACCCTTTCCCATATGACAGAAACCTGATTGGATGACAGGCATGGGGGGGATTCGTCAGATTAAAACAGCCCACCAACAAGTCCTAAAAACCCCAGACCTAGAAATTCCGGTGGCCACCCTCTTGGGTCCCCTCCCTCCTCTGGAGCTTTGTACTATCACTTTTCTATCGCTCAATAAACCTCGCTTTGCTGCTCACCACTCTGTCTGGTCTACGTTTTCATTCTTCAAAGCAGCGTGACCAAGAACCGCGGGCACCAATGGAGAAAAAAATCCTGTTACACTGGGTTGAAGCTCAGGGCTCTGTGCTCAGCGCGGAGTCCATTTGTCCCTCTACCCCTTCCCCTGCTGGTACTCTCTCTCTCAAATAAATAAAGTCTTTTAAAAAATAAATAAAACTTTTTAAATAATAATATGAAATATCAATTTGGCTTAAGAGTAAAAAAAAAAAAGGTATCAAGTAAACCAAACCATTATAAGAAAGATAAAAAATAAAGATATGATCACAAATATGAAAGGCAGTAAAAATACTTCAAAACAGAGAAATTCAAGTTCATGACCTCTGCCCGGTGTGCCACAGAGTGCCTTGAGGCTCCCGGTTGAGATAGACAAGGAAGAAAGAGCATGAGGTAATAGTTCTGGTGTATCAACACAACGGAGATTGTGCAATCATAAAAAGTATAGGTCAGCGTAGAGGCCGCTGGTAGGCCGCAGGCTTGAGCAATGGCAACCCGAGCAAGGCCCAAGGGCCCCCGGTGACCACGGGGCTGAGTGCAAGCAGGCTCGGGAAGCCACCCACCTCGAAATGGCCGTAGGCCCTAGTTGACCAATGGGCTACTTACACCCAGGCACAGTTACCAAAACAGGGAAAATCCTATTCGTTTCCATGCCTCCCTCGTTCCGCCCTATACCTAGAGCCCCTCAGCACCGCCTCATGGCGGACAGTCTCTCTCTGCTGTCCTGCCCTCAGCTGCCTTGAGGTGTATTCAGTAAACTGCCACCTCCCTTGTTCTGCCTCCCTTGAATTCTCTCACCACGCGCCGCCGGCCCCCACGCGAGAGGGACACCCCGCATTCAAGCCTATGTAACATCACGGAGAAATACTGCTGACATGTTTTGAGAAAACATCAAAATACAAAGTTGAAAGGTAAAATTGAAGTGTACAATAATGTGCGTGCCCAGACGAGGACAAGATGAGGAGAGGCAAGAACAAAAGGAGTGCCTTTGTTAAGTAGATTTATTTTTTTCTGCTTTGGAATACATTTTTTAAATATAACAAATACGAAGATAAATTAGAGTGGACTGAAACAGAATTCCCAAAGTGTCCCTCTCAGAAAAGGTATTGCTCCAAAAGGTACCAGAACACAATTTCTTACAGAAAAAATAACTTTATCTGGAGTCTCAGCTACAACAAACAAATGGAAACAGCTGACAAGAACAGCCAGCTCTTTCACCCACCGTAGAAGTTGCTTCACGTTTGCGTGGCCACAGCACGTCGAGCTTTCCTACTCCAGCTGTTCTAGTCACGTTCCCCCCGCCCTACCTGGTCCTAGAGATCTTGGTGTTAATGACTTTTCTTAAAAAGCTGCAAGCACTTGGGGACAGGCCCTATTTTGTTGCCTTCACAATGCCCAGCACAGTGCTGGGCTACCACTCCAGTTTCTTGCCCGATGAATGCTAATTAGACGCAGCCTGCTGAGATACACCCTGATGACCTGCTATTACTTTTTGCCAATTAATATATAAAATAATGCTGACGTGTCTGACTACAGCCCAGAGGCATGCCTAAGAAAGCCAGCGTGTAATAGTTCCCAAGCGCTGCTGCAAGGTGCAAGCTGGAGTTTCCTGTCTGGATGATAAGCAGTGGAAACTGGAGGTACAAGGGTACCCCTTTTTAGCATGGCCTGATGTTGATTACATGGTTCACTGTATTATGGGTCATTCGTGTCCCTGGAAGTCAGACATGTACAGAGAAGAGAAGCTTGTGGGTGCTGCCAACTCTGGGCTCCAGTGTTATAAAACATCTTAAAGTACTCCTCCGTGCTACAAAGGAGGGCATTCAGCCTCCTGATTTGCAATAAAGTCCTCTTTTTCCATCTAGCCATCAGCTTCAGTATATGCGGGAGTTGGATGGAAAGCTTTATGTCCCTTTCCTGGTGGTTGGGAACAAAGAACAAATACAGCATCTGTAAGTTTCAAAAGCTAAAAGGAAAATACATCCTTAAGACTTTCCTGTGTTCCCTAGCAGCGGTTGTAGAAATAGCCCCGCAGTTCCAAACACACAGACGATTATAAACACCCAAAGAAATACCCTGTCCACCACCATGGCCACGTATTTCCAGTCGTCTTCTACCTGAAAGGCAAACAAAAAGTAAAAAAATTTAAAAAATATATTGAAACCATAGAAAATGTGCTTTGTCTCATAAATAAGCTGCTTCCTTTTCAAAGACGACTTCCCTGGCAATTTTTAAAGCAAATACTGGTTTTAACCTGGTTAAGCCATGTCGCCTGTATAGCTCACAGAACTTTGTCTGAAGAGCATGGATACGCCCTTCCATGCCTCATGCAGATGGCTACCGAGTGAGCACAAAGGTCTTTTCCTGCAAAAAGCATTCCCGAGATAGCTCAACTTTTGCTCAGATAGCTCAACTTTTGCCATTGGCACCACTGGATATTTTGACTTCTTGGCTAGTCTGGGAAATGGGTTTGGGGGAGGGGGTGCAGGACGTGAGGAA